ATATTCGCTCTTGGTATTCTAACCACAAGACGACTGTCCAGGCCTCAGCCCATCCACGCCCATCTCAACGAACAACAGCGAAAGGAACGAGTACGTCGAACTCGAGCAGCTGTGCGAATGGTGTTAGCGTCTGCAGTCCTGTACACATGTTGTAATCTCTCCTTCTTAATTTTAAGCATCTTATGGATAGTGGAATTTTTCTTTCCATCGGTTGACATTATGGATGACTCAGCCTGTATCGACTGGCGGTCTATTGATTTTATTATATTCACGCTTCTCCTGGTCGTCAACTCGTGCTTTAGTCCTCTTATTTACATAGTGTTTTTACCTGACTTTAAAGAAGCTGCAAAGAAAGTACTGTTCCGTGGAAGAAAGACGCAGAACCAGGCACCAAACGGAGGAAACTCGATTGAGCTGCAGCCAGCTCCAAACTGTGCTTAGAGCCGGACAAACTCTCTCGCAAGTAGTTGCGAAATTCTATTGCTTTTCGATCTCTTGCAAAAGCAAGTTCGACAAGTATTTAGCATGTTAAATGTGACTTTACTTATTCGAGGAAGTATTCATTAAGGTGATAATAAAAATAATAAAAAAAAATATTGTAATCGTTTTAGCGACATTTCTAGAGGAAGACAATGTGCTTTTATGAGTCTTTTGAACAGCTTTGTTATCTGCACATTGTGATGATATTTCGACGTGGACGACAGATACGATGGATTGTGTTTTGGCCGAAGATCTTTTTGACAGCATTCGAAAAGCGCTCTATACCTGATAAAGAGACTATTTCTCTGAATTATCTGCCAGGTCGAGTCCTTTGGTCTCCGATGACATAACTTCCATCGCACATTTAGGCAAACCAGCGAAACCAATCGCCCGACGAGGCAAACAAACCAAATAAAATCAATCGCCCGATGAGGCAAACAAATCAAAACAATCGCCCGAAAATAAATAAAAAAATACGGTCTGTAATAAAGTGTACATATACGTTCTAATCTTGTTTCTTTTTGCCATGTATTCTCCCTCCATAAAATCAAATAAACCTAAAACCAATTTGAACAAGCATCACAGAATTTACATATCGCAGCACTTCACTTTCGATAGGAACAGCTACTGAGTACAAACTGATATTTTTTTACGGAAAGCAAATTGTTGTAAAAAAAATCAACACTGAAACTGTGAATATAAAAGTATTAATTATATCTAAGTTTACCAGTGCATGAAGAAGTATTTAAAGGTCAATATTTGATTATAATTTTATTCAAGAAATGATTAAAAAAACTCAAATAGTCTCCTTCACGGTTACCTGCGCCATCTTGAAAGGTAGCCGTGTAGCGCTTAATAGTCTCCTTCACGGTTACCTGCGCCATCTTGAAAGGTAGCCGTGCCTTTGCATCGAAGCGAGACAACAGTTGAACGTGCAATGATAGATACTTGTGAATGATTGTCTGTAGGTGTGAAAGAAGGTTTCTATCATTGCACGCTCAACGGTCGTCTAACCTCGATGCAAAGGCACGGCTACTTTTCAAGATGGCTCAAGTAACCGTGACGAAGACTATTGGCTGCATTTCATTTTTCTCCATGAAAAAGTCATTTTGAAAAACTTAAACACAAAATTTACGAAACATGTCGAATAAACGATTTAAAATCGTAATAGTGCTTCTCAAGACTATTTTTCTCACTGCTGACGATTTGAAACACAAAAATACAACAAAAACAAAAAAGACAACCCCATTTTTAATAATTCGAAACTTAATACTCCAATTTCGAGTTCTGGTTTGCTTTGTGTTAGCCTCAAAACCAAGTAACATATTCTTTTGTTTCATTGATAGCTAGAAAACGCATGGAATTTTGTGAAGAAAGACAATAAATTTGATTTGAAATCTCACACTTTTACGCTCACAATAAAGAATATTTTGCGCACAAATGAGGCTAACACAGAGCATTGGAGAATTCGAAACTGGACTATTATTGTCAAATGCACAATAGCAATATATCAACTTTCAACGACCTTTTTTTGATTGCTTTAGTTTAATTTCATTTGACTTTTCGTCAAAGGCTGCCTAAAATATGTAATAACTGTTTTAATTGCCCTTGACAATTAATGTGTACTGTATTCTTCAGTTCTTTTTGGTGTAATAAACAATTATATTGAAAATGATATTTCTACATTTTTTTTTTTGTAAAAAAAAAAAAAAAGATTGAAAGAAAGGGTAAGATTTCTCATTTGTATACGACAAAAATAACCTTAAATAAGGGTGATCAAAAAACCGGCATCCTTTGTAATCCTTTATGAAT